CCGAAGCTGGTCGTAACCCGAAATGTTCGTTAGTAGAGGCGTTCGTATCCCGAGGTACCACTGTACCTGGTGAAGTAGACTTATGCACGAAAGGCTATGCAGGAATAAATGTGTTAATCTAAGGTACAGCAAGATTTCTTGTGCTTTAGGAATAAGCTATTATGGAAAAATTTAATTCTATTCTTGAATTAAATTTATTACTTTTTTTTTCCTTAAAGCAATTGGCTCCTTGGTTAAGCTGCAGTTTCTGGACTTGAGTGACAATGCTCTTGAAATTGTATGTCCAGAGATTGGTCGCTTGCGATCTCTACGTCACCTTCGATTAGCTCATAATCAGCTAAAATATTTGCCAGCAGGTAAGGCATAAGAAGCCTTCTGACTCATGTATACAATTTTTGACCTGTTATGCAATATTTGAATTCTGTTAAATAATATTAGTCAAGTGTTCTTAATGTACTCCTTCTTCTACTAATGTATGCATTATTGCTGATTTAAAATTAAACGCTTAAATTATTAAAAATGCATTAAGTTTGCTGAAGGCAGATTGCATATCACAATAGTTATTGAGCTTACCAATCTTTATTCCATTCTACATCACTTCCCATGTACCAAATAATGTGCCACAAACCAGCTACTTTTTAAGGTATTAATTTGGGGCAGGAATATAATTTCATTGCCATTTATTAATATTGTCTTGCTGGAATTAAAGTAAGAAAAATATAGATGAAAGCAGCCCAGCCTGATCATGCTTACCTGGAATCATTCTTAGTAATGTTTACCTCAGAACACAGTGTAATCTTAAGCAAATTTTCATGAGAAAAGTTCTTTTATTTTCTGTAAAGTGGCAAGAACTCTGTAGTAAATGCTGAACCTTAACAGACTACTTCTGCTAACAGTTTGCCGGAATATAGAAATCCAAACGGGCAGTGGCTATAATTGAAAATGTCAAATGGTGGACATTCCATAAAGCCAGAAGCATCTTCTGACTGAAAGTTGCCAAAAATGTTCATTGATGTTTTCAAAATATTTAATTCAAAAGTGAGTATCTGGATATGATTAAGTTTCTTAAAATTCATGCTGGATTCCCACAGTATAAATTAAGGTTTGTTCAAGCAAAATGTAACATTTTTCTGAAGACCTCAGGGCGTGGCTTTTACAGATTCCAGAGTGGGAGCATTCAAAAGAGATATATTAAAGGATGATTGACTATGTGTCTATCAAGCTTTACTTAGGAAAAAGCCTTCTCTGTATAAAGATGCTACCTTATTTTATCCTCCATTTATATAAAAGATGGGACGTTAAACCTTTTCTTCCTATATGTTGAAATCTTTAGGTATGTGATATTTCCATTAAAGTCTCTGCTGATATTGAACTGCTGATGAAAAATAAGATTGCCTGAGGTCCCCCAGCTTTTCCCCCAAAAGCTATATACATATTCATCCTCCCCTGCTTGTAACAATTTGTCTCTGCTAGGAAATGGGCCTTCAGACTTGTTTCCCTGAGTCTTCTATAGAGCACTTCCTGGCATTGCTTTGCCAGCACTTCCCGGGCAGGCTTCATGGTTGCAGATCTTCACTTGTAATCCCTCTTAAGGAGATTCTATTATTCTCAAAATTGTGAGTAGGATGGTTAGTAAGTAACTGGACATCCTTTGCATTCCGTTCTAGCAAAGAGCTTGTAGAGGACTTGACAGGATGCAGCTTTTCACTATAGTATCGTCACCATTGCCGTGAGCAAGGACGTGATTTCATGAAGAGTATATCTTTAGAATTTAGGTTGTATCTGTTTTAAATATCTTCTCAGGGTGTATTTTTTTGGTCCAGTGGATAATTTTGGGAGGCCATTGCAGTGATGCTGCTGAATCTTAGATCTGATGATCTCCAGATGTGTTTAAATTTGATTCCCATAGAACTGCTTATTTTTAATCATGAAGGATTTGCTGAAATTGGATAGAACTTTCAACAATGAAAGAAGAGCTTGGTAGTTTTTGCCGTGAATCAAAACGTACCATCCAACTGAAGCAGCTCCAGAAAGAAATTAGGAGCCCCAAAACTAGCTAGGGAGCCATAAAAGACTGAAAGAAAGCTAAAGGAGCAGAGACCTTTGAACACTGTACTCAGGAACAGCAGGCAGGAAGAGAAAACATTGTTTCAAAATTAGCTGATTAAAGGAACAGCTACAAGTGGGGACATGAAGAAACTATTTATTATTTAAATTTGTTATGGTTGCCCACTGCAGCAGATTCTGGGCAGCTTACAAAATACAAAAACATAGTAAAAACATAAAACAACACAGACAGCCCAGACTAAAGCAGCCATAACAATAACAAGAAATCAAATAGTGCCCCCACAAACACACTAACCCCAGACCTGAGAACAGAGTCATTCTTAAGGGCTTTCCAGAACCCCAGGAGAGAGGGTGTGATCTGTATCTTGGGGTGCAGGGGCTGTGACAGAGAAGGCATGCCTCCTCAGTCCTGCAAGATAACATTTAATATGAGGGGACCTGGAGTTCACCTAAGCAGGCAGAAACAATTGGAGATCTCCAGGCCCTATGCCACGAAGGGCTTTATAGGTGACAACCAGCATCTTGTTCCCAGAAGCTGATTGGCAACTAATGTGGCTCACGTAGCAGCGATGACACATGGGCATAATTAAAAGGGCCTGTTACTGCTTGCATCGCTGCCTTTTGAACCACCTATTGCTTCCAGCTGGTCTTCAGGGGCAGCCCCATGTACAGCGCATTGCAATAATCCCCTCATGAATAAATGTCTGAAGGGCCTCCTGGTTGATACAGCTGTCACGCAAGGTGAACATATGCAAAGGCCTTCCTTGCCACAGCTGCCACCTGCTGTCCAAGCAGTAGCTGTGAGTGCAAAAGGACCCCCAGCTTGCATGGTGTGAGGGTATTTAGTGAGACATGTCATCCTGCCACCAATAGGATTGGAAAATCTGGTGGACTGATTTCAGTCCACAAACCAGAGTGGCCAAATCATACTATATTGCAAATGAGCTATTCATAGAATTAAACTGTGGTTAACCCCAAACTGGTTTTTAAGTATTACTTTTCAATTATACTCTAAATATAGCAATAAACAACAGTTAAGTTGTGATATATCCTGAGTAAATATATAAATTTAGTGAACACTATATTAGTACACATAACAATGTTTATAAATATGAAAAAGAACTACGCTTAATGCATCTATAATGTAAGTATGAAAATACATTCATCTGCAACAGACATCAAATACATTTGACCATCATTTAATTCTCCAGTGTCCAATAATGTCATAATTTTTACATTTGTTTATAGAAATTCTGGAAACCGGCTTCTCTACCAAATAAAGTCAAATGTTGGTTCACTGGTATACAGAAGTATTTATTGTCCTGCCGTTGAAGACCACCCAGGAACTTCAGCTGGTCCAGAATTCGGCAGCTGAAGCGCGTATTGGTCAGTCATGGTACTGCCATGGCACACTGTTGCTGCAGGAACTGTACTGTTTGCCAGTGGGTTTCCAAGAACAATTCAAGGTGCCTTCTGTGGCTCAGGGCCAGCGTATCTAAGAGATTGCCTTTCCCAAATAGTCTCTGCTTGTCCATTCCAGATGGCCAGAGAGCACTTACCATGTGTCCCCAGGAGATGTGGTGGGAGAAGGCCCAAAAGCATTGTGTGGTAGCTCCTATCCAATGGAACAAGTTCCCTTTGAGGTGAGGAGGGCCCCCACCTTCAGGACCTTCAGAAGGTAGATTAAAACAGTACAGTGGTACCTCGGTTCACAAACTTAATGCGTTCCACGGTTCTGGTCGCGAACCAAATTGGTCACCAGTCGAATCAAATTTCCCCATAAGGTTCAGTGTAAATAAGGTTAATCCGTTCTGAACCATATGTATTTTTTTTAAACCATAAGGTTCAGTGTAAATAAGGTTAATCCGTTCTGAACCATATGTATTTTTTTTAAACCATAAGGTTCAGTGTAAATAAGGTTAATCCGTTCTGAACCATATGTATTTTTTTTAAACCATAAGGTTCAGTGTAAATAAGGTTAATCCGTTCTGAACCATATGTATTTCTTTTTTTAACCACAAAAATATGAAACTACAGTACAGTACAGTATGAAGAGAGAGAACACTAACCTTGCTTGAGGCGACACCAAAAAGCTTCACAGCATGTGTCTGTCTGCGACCGCGATCTCACCTAAAGGAAGCCATGACCATGTGTCAGAGCAGGGAAGATGGCCGCGGGTTGTGTTCGTCACCCGATGCGGAGTTTGCGAACGGAAGCAAAAATTTGCAAATGCTGCTGTTTGCGAACCGAATTGTTCGTGAACAGAAGCGTTCGTGAACCGAGGTATTACTGTATCTTCCAGAAGACTTCAAGGGCTGACTGGGAAGCTACTGGCACCTAGGTCTGCTGTATCAGTTTAATTATTAATATAGTTGTGTTAGTTATTGTTGTGTATATTATTTGAAGCGGTAGATAAATTGTGCAATTAAATAAAGAGAAATAATTAAAAGGCTCTTACCAAGAGAAGCTGTTTTACTAGGAAAGGGATCATATATTAATTTTGAACTCCTACCACATTTTGGCATGCCTTCAACATGAGTGTTCTCTCTGATAAACGTAAAGACAGCCAGTAATTAGATCATAGGATTTGGCATCTGAGATATTGCATTAGTTCCAGGTCCTCCTGTTGAATCAGCATGACATCTTTTTACCTATCTCTGAAAAGTTACATGAACTCTATACACCCCACAATTTTTAAAAATTTTAAATTGTTAAGTTTGCTGATTAGAATGGGGAAGGAAATTAAAGTTCACCAAACTTAAAACAGTGATTATCCGTGTGTGTGTGTGTGTGTGTGTGTGTGTGTAAAAATTTTTTTGGAAAGTAATCCACAATACTTTTTTTTTCTTGTTCCTGATTATAATGCTTGTAGGGACAGTAATTAATTAAATCAACCAAAAGACTCCAGTAATATTGTTACTTGGAAACTGTGAGCTGTTCCCAGTGAGGGAACCATTTCAAGCCATCATTGGTCATACCAGGAAGTTTTTCTAAATATGGGAATATTTATGGTGCTCTTTGGTGCCCTTTGACTTTCTCTTGGCATAAAGGACCAAATGATTTTGAATAAGAAGTTGGAAATTATTACCTTAAGGAACAAATATTTGCTTAACTTTCTCAATCTTTCACTGAAGGTTATTGATGGCAAGTAGCTTCTACTAACTCTGCTGGTTTTTTTTCTCCCAAATATTGAGATTGCTAAGACATATGTTTACAGCAGTTAATTGTTTTAGAATTTAACCAAACCTAAATGGAGAACATTCTTATTCAAAAATTCCTTTTTAGATAT